ATAGTGACCTTGAATCTTGATAGTGACCTTGAATCTTGATAGTGACCTTAAATCTTGATAGTGACCTTGACCTTGAATCTTATAGTGACCTTGAATCTTATAGTGACCTTGAATCTTGATAGTGACCTTGAATCTTGATAGTGACCTTGAATCTTATTGTGACCTTGAATCTTATAGTGACCTTGAATCTTGATAGTTACCTTGAATCTTGATAGTGACCTTGAATCTTGATAGTGACCTTGACCCTTGAATCTTGATAGTGACCTTTAATCTTGATAGTGACCTTGAACCTTGATAGTGACCTTGAATCTTTATAGTGACCTTGAATCTTGTTAGTTACCTTGAATCTTGATAGTGACCTAGAATCTTGACAGTGACCTTGAATCTTATAGTGTGAATGTTATAGTGACCTTGAATCTTGTTAGTTACCTTGAATCTTGATAGTGGCCTTGAATCTTGATAGTTACCTTGAATCTTGATAGTGGCATTGAATCTTATAGTGACCTTGCATCTTGATAGTTACCTTGAATCTTTATAGTGACCTTGAATCTTGATGTTGACCTTGAATCTTATAGTGAGCTTGATTCTTATAGTGACCTTGAATCTTTATAGTGACCTTGAATCTTGATGTTGACCTTGAATCTTATAGTGACCTTCAACCTTGATAGTTACCTTGAATCTTGATAGTGGCATTGAATCTTATAGTGACCTTGAATATTATAGTGACCTTGAATCTTGATGTTGACCTTGAATCTTATAGTGACTTTGATTCTTATAGTGACCTTGAATCTTGTTAGTTACCTTGAATCTTGATAGTGGCATTGAATCTTATAGTGACCTTGCATCTTGATAGTGACCTTGAATTTTATAGTGACCTTGAATCTTGATAGGGACCTTGAATCTTGATAGTGACATTGAATCTTATAGAGACCTTGAATCTTGATAGTGACCATGAATCTTATAGTGACCTTGAAGCTTGATAGTGACCTTGAACCTTGAATCTTGATAGTGACATTGAATCCTATAGTGACCTTGAATCTTGATGTTGACCTTGAATCTTATAGTGAGCTTGATTCTTATAGTGACCTTGAATCTTTATAGTGACCTTGAATCTTGTTAGTTACCTTGAATCTTGATAGTGGCCTTGAATCTTGATAGTGACCATGAATCTTATAGTGACCTTGAAGCTTGATAGTGACCTTGAACCTTGAATCTTGATAGTGCCCTTGAATCTTGATAGTGACCTGGCATCTTATAGTGACCTTGAATCTTGTTAGTTACCTTGAATCTTGATAGTGACATTGAATCTTATAGAGACCTTGAATCTTGATAGTGACATTGAATCCTATAGTGACCTTGAATCTTGATGTTGACCTTGAATCTTATAGTGAGCTTGATTCTTATAGTGACCTTGAATCTTGTTAGTTACCTTGAATCTTGATAGTGACATTGAATCCTATAGTGACCTTGAATCTTGATGTTGACCTTGAATCTTATAGTGACCTTAAATCTTGATAGTGACCTTGACCCTTGAATCTTGATAGTGACCATGAATCTTATAGTGACCTTGAATATTGATAGTGACATTGAATCTTATAGGGACCTTGAATCTTGATAGTGACATTGAATCCTATAGTGACCTTGAATCTTGATAGAGACCTTGAATCTTGATAGTGACATTGAATCTTATAGTGAACTTGAATCTTGATAGTTACCTTTAATCTTGATAGTGACCTTGAACCTTGATAGTGACCTTGAATCTTGATGTTGACCTTGAATCTTATAGTGACCTTGAATCTTGATAGTGACCTTGAATCTTGATAGTGACATTGAATAATCGAATATGTTTGATTCTAATTTACAATAGTCCACTTTCCTGACACATGTCGTTTTTCTGTTAACAAAGTTTCACACATTTCACTTTTTTGAAGATTCGTTAAATTTCCTTCTTTACATATTGTAAGTGGGTCTGCAAATCTTCTATTTTTCTCAATCTCTATCCTGTCTAATTCTAGTGTAATTTTCTCTAGCACCTTCTCAGATAGGTCTGAATGATTGTCGCTTTTAACTGTTAAATTTGGCCTATTACTTTCCTCTTCCTTTTCCAAAATGTCACTCAATACACCGTCAATGAGAACCTGTTTCTCACGCCAAACGTTCATGCATTTTGAATAAGATATAAAACTAATTTCCTTGATGACATAATACAATGTGCTGTATGAACATATGTGCACTCCACAGAACAGAACTGGTCAAAATCATGTACGAGCTTTGCACGAATGAGACGAATGAGACAATTGATCCAAAAAGTTAAATGGGTCATAGAACACCTACAGAGAATTTGTTACCTGAATCAGCAAAAGAGGCACCCAGAGGGAACTATGTTTTAAGTATAAATAATGACTGGATAGCAACATTGCTTAGGTGTCAGATTGGACATTTGTGTGTCTTGATAGACTTGGACATCAACTGGAGAATAATGAAGAAATAAAATTCAACGAATGACTGATGAATTGTGTAATCACGGTGATTCTGTTCCCGCCAGAGACGGAGGGGCGGACGGACGAGGTTAATGCTATATACATGTACCTATATAACCATGGCTTTGTTGAAACATCCAGGGGATTTTAAAACGTTGATGTCGGACAGACAACACACTATTATAACGTATACTCACTAAGCTCTTAAGCTATAAGTTTTCGTGTCAATTAGAGCAGGGTAAGTGTAACGGAATAGATGGTATTGTTACGTATTCTTGATGTCTATTTCGTAAACATTAAAGAATTGTGTATAATTTAGATTTACATCTACTACTGTACTAGTACAGTTTTGTATAATTAATACTTGTATCCATATGTTGTAAAGCGCTTTAGAGTAATTTTACAAATTATATAAGGCGCTTTATAAATTTTGTATATAATCATTACTAGTGATTAAAATGATCTTGCTTCAATAAAAAAAGACCTTTATATATTAGAGATTTAGGTGTACTTCATGTAAACATAAAACGATCTCCAAACATGAGAGTGTGGGAAGTATACTATACAATGTGAGTGAGAACGCATACTTGGTTGATAGAGTTTTTTAAGTGGTTCTGCATTATAAGCAAATTGTTAGTTTTCGCGTGATGTCTCGTCCATAATTACCCATTATCCACCCGTCAGCATAACTGTTTCAATATATTGTATACTAAAACTAAAATCCAGCCACTCGTACGTTTTACGCTTTTTGAACTAAAGATAAAACCATATTTCATATCTATAGCATTAGGGCTTGAAACATATATATCGTAATTCTGTCAAATCCCCACCTAAGGATGTAAATTGACAGTAAACATCATTTTCATAGTTTGTGTCATGATGTCATTATAATAAATTGTCATCTTATGATGGCCTTGTTCAATTCTATATTTGCGTTAAGTTTTATGTGGAGTAAGCATAAATATATATATATGTAATATTGATCGATGTATTGCATCAATCAAGAAATGTCTTGGTAAACACGGGGTGTAGGGAATAGGGGAGGGAAGAGGTCGACTTGATTTGTCGAGGTTCGTGTAAAATTTATATATTTCACTTCACACTTCTTAGATCAATGTTCTCTTTATAGACTTTAGTCTAATTCACTGAACCAATTACTTGTCTTTTTCTAAACAAATTTCAAATCTACCAAAAGAAATGGGGCGGAGGTATTGTTTTAACGTGACTTCACTATTCGAATGCGTAATTAACGAACGGTTTGATTCTCTTTTTATAATACAATACATATTTTAAAGTGAAATCATATGGGAAATGAACAGCACACATACATTGTAAGTGAGTGATAAAAAAGAAAATAGGTACATACATCATAAACCATCCATTTATTTTTCATGTTGTCACAAACCCCAACTCATGTATACCAGAGTATGTACTGTTTCTATGATGTGTTAAAACACAACTGTAAATTTCTATTTGCTAAACATGAATATATATTATTATATATGTCAACAAATAAATAATATTTTCCTTAATAAATTTAAGATACATACAGGTTTCCCCCAAAAAAATGAAATAATAGTAAAAGTAAAACAAACTTATTCAAATATAGCATTTAAGCGAGTTGATTACTTATGAGGAAAATAAAATAATGATTACACAATCTAATTAATTGACTAGTCAGTAAATTCATCATGTTAGGTGATCTTAACTGGCAGTATTCCATGATGTAAAGATATTTAACTAAAGAACTAACGTATTGGAAGTATGTGGCACAAATGTACATGATTTTTCAAGTAATTGTTTTGTCCCCTTTATCCGTAAAGACATTGTGCATACGGGAATATGTGTGTTGAAGGGAAATAACTCAGATAGGCCTTTCTTAATAAGGCTTGTTTACGAGTGTATATGTGAATTTTTCACGGAACAAATCCCTGAACCTGTTCTCGGAAAACCCCATCTTATCAAGACACCCGAGTAAAAGCTGCTCAACCTTGACGTACAGGCTGTTGAGGAAGTCGGCCACTCGTAAGTATATCCATCTTAACACCATCCCAATTAGAAATATATCAAGCTTAAATATGTTTTGGTTAATTAATATGATGCTTAAATTTGTTTTTAACTAAAATGTTTACAGATATGCAGATATAGCGAGTTATTTATGCAATGTTGAACATGACCTGTCTCTAACAGTTAATTAGTGTTAATATCTACAATAAATTATCCTCTGCCATAGAAAGGTGATACCATGGATATTATTGTTGTCAAGAAAAATCAAATTGTTGATAAAAAGGGGTTATTAATGCAGGGAAATGTTAAATGTTACTGGCCTCACCCATATCTATGGTGTTTCAACCAGGAAGTATATCCAGAACAAATTCAGATCAGCGTAGTATAATTAAAGATATCACTAATATATTGCTTCTCTTTAGATTTGAACAAAAGACCCATACTTAAATCAAATTACAGCATTAATGGACATTAGACGTGTTTAAACATGTACGTTACATACAAATTCATTTTAGTATGATATGTAAATGCAAACCGAAAGTAGAGTAGGAAAGTAACACTATCTGCGTGATTCATCACAATTTAAAAACATTATATTACACACAAGCTTTCATCAAGAAGCCACGTTTCTGGTAGGTTAGCATTTTTCTCCGGATTTAAAGGGAGAGATAACGTTCGTATAGCCATATAGCTATCGACATGGGTAGCGTGAAAATTGTATAAAAAAATTGTGATCGATTTTGAGAATTAACTACAGTTGATTGCATCTTGTGCATTTGTCATCTGAAGCAAGTACATGTGAAGCTGTGCATCCTACATTGCATATTATAATTGATCCTGTGAATTTTGAGGACTAGTCTGTGAAATAGTTTTTCTATGTTTACAAATGTGCCTATGTATTGTCTCGGAGATTAATGTTATGTCGTACATAGCAGGCCCATCGGCTCATGTGTGCAGCCCTTTTATCACCCCTGTTCTGCGAATTAGTCCCCGTGATGGAATAGTACGTGCTGTGAATATTTTTCATGCAGATTAATTTAGAACTATTTAGATTGTAAGGTTTTAATAGAAGGTATGAACATACAATTCTAGATCTAAAGTTTTAATAAACAGTAATTTTACAAATATTTAACAGTACGGAAACGGGAGTTCCGCGAAAGGATATAACGTTACACACATAAAGGCCCACCCACGCTAATGTACCATCAGGTAAGCCAAGCTAACCAGTACTACAGCCGTGTTCCAATGTGGGCACACCCTGCAGAATTGGGGATTTGCTTTTGTGCCCTCGTCTTGGGGACACCAAAAGTGATCAAATTAAAGATGCACCAATTGAAATAGTCGGGGTCTTAATATTTCCCTCTACTTCTAACTACCATCTATGTATTGGCTTCTTGCTTGATAATGCATCACTATTGGCTTTCATGTTGAACGTTCGCCAAGTTGAGAAAGGCAATGGGTTCTGTCGCCGGGCCGGGACATACAAAAGTCCTTAAAAATGGTAGTTGTTATTCCCTGCTAAACGTTCAGCATTTGGGGAAATGACAACAACTGGTTTACCCGTTGTCGGTATAATTTGACCGGGCGGAATGCTGTGTTGGGTGCCTTTTACAGTGAGATAGCACTATACAGTCGGCATCAAATCCGCGCTTTCACAAGGAGGCAAATACACCAACATATCCTGTCTCCGGCACTCATACACACACGCACACATACACAACATACATAGAGTAAAGTCCTTAAATGACCCTAGCTGTTGATATGACATTAAACAAAATAAAACCAAACCCTCCTTTCCCTAAGTCTTCTTTCCGTGCAGAATATCATATGTCAATAGCATTCTTGACAATACCATTTCATATTTCACCCCATGTCTTAAGTGTAGCCTTAATGACGTATAACATATCTGACCAGCTAGGCTGACACTACTACATAGCTTGCTTAATTATAAATTATTTCTGTTTGAGCTTTGTTCCTTTCCTTATTAAGAACAGAATAACCTAAATCTCAATGAATCCTAATCAACAAAAAATAGTAAAAAGATATTGACACAAAAGTTGTTGTAATTATTCACCTTTATACTTTCAGATTAAATAAACAATACAGAAAGGTTGTGTATCTTACTGTGTAAGTCTAAGATCATTTTATTTAGGCTTTGCTTGGCCGTGTCAGTAAATAAAATACTAACGGTCCTGTTAGTGATAGTTATATCAAGGCTAGAGAATAACAACCAGAGTTTTAAATCAATGTGCAATATATAGAATGCAAAATACAACATAACATTACACACACTCACAACACAATTACAAATAGAAAGAGCATATATAGTACCAGATAGACTCGTGGCCCTCGACATCTTGTTGTTTGTTTGTGTTATCATGAACCCAATGATGTAGGGGTATGGTGAGCGTACCTAGGTACACAACAGACACCACATACTTATATCAGAAAAAAATGTGTCTCTGTTTACGTGTGACCTCTATGAAACCTACATATGTTGTGATAGCGTAACAGCAGTATAAGTTACAAAAAATGAAATACTGCTGGTGCATATATATAATGGGGGAAATTAAAGGTATTGATAGGGGTAAAAATGCAAAACGTTGTCAGATGTAACTGGCTTAATCAAACTCTGTATAGTTATAACAAGGAAGTATAACAACAACAAATTCAGATCTGCGTTGTGTAGATATACAAACAAAAACGTGTTTAGGAAACATAGAAAATTTGAACGGTTTTCATTTTGCAAACTACTATTACCTATTTTTTTAAATATTTTTTTCATATTCGTTTTAGTATGCTATGTATATTCAAACCAAAAGTAGAGTACAAAAGTAACTGTATATATGTGGTTCATCAAAAAGTGAACAGATTTTTTATTTCTTGTAATCATTCAATAAACCATAGTCGTACGCGTGATTTTCATTAAAAACAAAGAAATATTACCCTTTATATACAATACCGCTTAAAGCTGACAGTGCCAGTTAAAATGCTTTCAATTGAATTGTTTGGTGTGTTGTTTTTGGTGGGGTGGGGGTGGAATGGGGGNTTGAGATATTATCCAGTAACTCTCTCTACCGACTATCGTTTCTAAGGAGGCAGGAAACGCCGACATTTTAATTTGTCCTTGCTTGGTAACGAGTATCGGGCTCGCTGGGTATAAAAAGCTTATTTCCTGTAAAAAAAACACACCGATTTTTTTATTTTTTTTTAAATGTCTCAAATGAAAGCTTTTTTACATACACTGTAGGCTTTAAAATATGAAACAATATACCCAACAATTTCATAATACTGGTTTTATAGTAAATCTGAATTGATCTGAATAAGGAAGCGAAGTGGAGTCTTCCAAATTAGCACAGTTAATTAATTTCCTTTTGCATGCTGATAACATACATTTCATATGTTCTTTTGACAACTCACCCTTCCAAACTGAATCTAAATTTGTAATATATTAATTTTGTTTGTTTGTTTTTTTGTTTTTTGTTTTTTTTGGCCTGGGGGGATGGTCCCTTAATTTTACATTTTTCAATCAAATGAATAAAATTATTAAAAAAAAATGCATGTAGATACCCATGTGAAATAAGTAAGTGCTAAAAATATTTATCACGAACAATTTAAAACTTGGTACAATGTAACAGAGGATATATTTCTAAGTCCGTATAATCCAGCGGAAAGATCTGATGTAAGGAGATATATAATATTACTGGCTTCACCAATATCCGTGGTGTTTCAACCAGGAAGTATATCCAGAACAAATTCAGATCAGCCTAGTATATATATACAAACCAAAAGTGTTTCATAAAAACAAAGAAAAAACGCACGATTTGCTTTGTGCAAACCACTAATATCTAATTTGTAAAATATATCATGAACAATTCTCATGAAATTATTTTTTATATTATTTTGATTTTATCTGATTAAAGTTCTCTGATTGTGTGAATCAGCTCTTTGCTGAATAAGTAAATAAGTGTGCACGTGCACATTTCAGTTTGTCAACATCTGTATAGGCTTACCGGTATGTGTATCTCTGTGTATCTGTCAGTCGTATACAAATTGTTTGGGGAAAAACATGAATACTTAAATAGCATTTCATGTAATTAATAATGTTAATGATTTTTTTATTTTTTTTTATGAGTAAAAAAAAACAACCACAAAAAAAAATTATAAAAAAAAATCATGGCGTTATTAATCAAAAGGTAACAGTAAACAAATCCGATTTGCATTTGATATAAAAGTGGTTACAAGAAGAAATTAACTCACCACAACTAAGTCTGATAGAAACTGTAATATATAATTAAAGATATCACTAATATATTGGTTCTCTTAAGATTTGAACAAAAGACCCATACTTAAGGTAATAGGATTGTGTCGCCATTTCTCAGAAGAATTTATTCAAATTTTGCAGTTATATTGCTTTGACGTAAAGAACATTTTCTGCCACAAAAAAAATATAGGTTGTCAAAATTTTAAGGATTTTAAATGGAAATTTATGTAAAAAGGATCGAATTTAAAAAAAAAAAAAAGAATCACACATTTATTTTGCAAAATAATTTCAATAAAAATGATACTAACATAGATTAGTATTGCATTAATGTATATCAATAAAAATTGACATTTTATAATAAAACCATATACACATAGTAATTGCATGCAAGATGTATCGTTCTTGAAAAACTTCACAGTAGTGAAATAGGTAGCCGGTTTCCTGAAGTACAGAAAAATGGACACATGTGACTCATTGATTAAAAAACAACTGAATTAATGCCTGGATTGCTTTGGCATACTTTAATATTGAAAGAACACAATGTTCTGTCAATAATAAGCATACAATATTCATCAGTTTAATATTAATCATTAGAATATGCGGAAATTGTGATACTGTCTCCCTACATTGGATTTTCAACTAGGGATGTACTTCCTATTTCCGTTTAGCAATACACTCATATGACCTTAAATCAAATAACAGCATTAACCGACATTAGACGTGTTTAAGCATGGACGTTACATACTAATTCATTTTTGTACGGTATGTATATGCAAACCGAAAGTAGAGTACAAAAGTAACACTATCTGTGTGATTCATCACAAATTGAACACATTATGTTACAAACAAGCTTTCAACAAGAGGCCACGTATCTGGTATGCTATAGTTTTTTCTCCGGATTTAAAGCGAGAGATAACGTTCGTATAGCCAGATAGCCATTGACAGAGGTAGCGTGAAAATTGTATCCACATTTTGTGATCGATTTCCGAATAAACTACAGTTGATTGCATCTTGTGCATTTGTCATCTGAAGCAAGTACATGTGAAGCTGTGCATCCTACATTGCATAATTTAATTGATCCCGTGAATTTTGAGAATTAGACCATTAAATACTTTCACTATGTAAACCTATACGTATTGTCTCGGTCGGTAATTGTACATGCAGTAAATACTTTTCATGTAGATTTATTAAGAATGTTATTTATATTGTAAGGTTTGTATAGAGGGTATGGACATATAATTCTAGAGCTGAGGTTTTAATAAACCGTATCATTACCATTATTTGGATGTACGAGATACGGGAGTTCGGCGTGAGGTTATAATGTTGCACACATAAGATAGGTACTTTTTGTAGGCCTAGTTATATGTACCTACCCCAAGTGCTCTGTCCGTACAGAAATACATTTTTAAACTGTCTCTTTATCTTTGAACATACATGTATGGTGTATTAAAACTTCTTAGCACAAAGGTTCAGCCTTTATCACAAACCTCGATCCCACACATGTGTCTTGGCACTAGAAATGTGTACGGTAGTGAATGAACTCGGTACAAATGTACTGCAAGTCAAGGTAAGATATGAATGTTTTAATGCCTAGATATTAAATTGTGGTACTAAATGTTTATAAATTAAGACTGGCAATGACAGCCATATAGGCTACACTTGTTTAAAGGGATAATACATGTTATAAACAATATTTTCAAGAAACTTGAGCGCGTAGCTTCAGTCAACGCTCATCAGTTATTTACTACATATACAAATGTTGTTGTGAGCAATTAGGAATGGAATTCCAATACATTCCAGCTTCCTAACTGCTGAAATACGATATTACCACGGACTTAAATTACTCTAATGTATCTAAGTCTGTGATATTACACACGGATATACCTGCCCTGCTCCAGCCTATGTATACCTGTAAATGTCACAGGCCATGATAACGCAAGTCAGTAATATACCGTAACACCTTTAGACATTATGATACGAATTAAACTATGGCCCATACTGCATTGCATAGGGGTACATGTCTATTCCATTGAATTATATAATGTATCAGCGGCTTTCAATGCAAATTGGACCTCTGTGTGCGATGCGATATCGTCTGAAATATTTATGCTTACTCTTCAACTATTATCTGGTGGTTACCCTATTTTATTCAAATAATTAAAATGTATACAGTATCATTTAAATAAGCGAACGCTTCTAGGTAGCACCTATTTCATATAAGCATCACAGCATTTTAACTTACAAGCGGTGAAATAATGCTGGTGTTAAGATGTTTGGAGCTAGCTCAAAGTGCCTAGATCTATCACAGATTCTCAAATACCCAGGGTTCCGTCTAAATTCCATGCGACAAAATTTCACCAACAAAAAATAATCATAAACTGTAAGTATGATAAGGAAATCATAGATAATTGTGGACTTACGAAGTCGGTGTATATAACCCAAACAGTGCACCTTTAATAATCGTCAGTAAAGTTAGATGTTACATACCAATCTGTAGAGTACTATTGTCGAAAATGTTACTTATTTAATTTGAAAGAAACATGAAACATTTTATAATAGCATTGTTTCTGACGCAAGGCAAACCACGCGTTTTATGACGGGAACCAATACTAAATGAGCGAGCACATGAGTACAGAGGTAACGTTTTCAATTTAAGCAAGACGGTGGGTTCCCTTTTACCTTATTACTTTGTCGATTGATTGAGTTGATGGACGACAGGGAGGGGTGGGGGAAAGAGGAGAGGAGGTGTTATGATCGAGCTAGTTAGTCTAATCTTACTACACTATATATTGATATTTCACATCGTGTTTACCACACCACTGCTAGCCAGTTTAGCGAAGATTGGTCCCTCAATCCATTAATATTTGTGAAAAAAGAAGAATGTGTGTTCAGGGGAAATCACTCAGGAAGAACTTGATTGGAAAATGTAAAGGTTTATGTTAAAATAAGGTGTTGAATTATTATCAAATAAACATACACACGGTTAAATACACTGATTATATTTGTTACTTCCTATCTGTTTGATATAGTTTGCTGTCGTTGTGTATTTAACAGGTGTATATGTTTACGGAACGAATTATCTTATTCTCAGAAGTACATACCTAGAACTAGAACACTAGGACACCCGTGTAAACACTGGGCGACCTTGTCAGACGCTGTCGAGCCAGTCAGCCAATTGTTAGTACAAGCTTAGATAGACCCGGCTATATGGTTTACTCCTTACCTATGTATTTTAAGATTTGTATTTATGAATATGCAGGTATATATTGTAGATATAGCGCTAAATTTGTTTATGAAATTCAATGTTGAACATGACCTATCTATTACCCCTCGAACTTATGAAAATATATTCGTTAACATATCCTTTGTCATAGTTCTGTGATATCATACATATCAAATTGATGCAATTGGGAAAATTCAAGGTATTGATAGGGATGAATGATGCAAAAAGTTGTCAGATATTACGGGCTTCATCAAACATTGTGGCGTTTCAACAAGAAAGTATAATAACAACAAATTCTGCCTTGTGTTGATATACAAACAAAACCTGTTTAGAAAAACATAGAAAAGTTGAATGGTGTTTTTGCAAACTACCATTACCTGGTTTGTTAAAGAATAATCTATAGTGTCTCGAGTCGGAATTCAATAAATGTCCTTTACATAAATTTAAATCAAATTACTGCACTGATCGAAATCAGACATGTTTTAAAATGTAGGCAACAACATATTCGTTTTAGAATGGTATGCATATTCAAACCGAAAGTAGAGTACAAAAGTATTTGCAGTAGTCGTGATTTTGTTTCAACAAAGAAATATAACCCTTTCATGTTTGCGAACAATTACATACAACACTGTTTAAAGCTGACAGTGCAAGTTAAAAAGCTTTTAATTGAGATTGATTTTTGTGAGATATTTTTGAGTGGTTTTGATATCTTCCCCAGTGACTCTCTCCTCCGGCTATCGTTTCTAAGAAAGCGCCGACATTTTAAGTTGTCCTTGCTTGGTAACGGGTATGGGTCTCGCTATTTCTTTCTTTCTTTCTATTTCTTTCTCTTCAATTCAACTACGACGGGCATTTTTTCTGTGTTGAATAAACGCAACTGAACCTGAAATGTTTGCCGAAATAGATTAATATTGATAAAAAAAAATAAAAAAAAAATGTGACGTTACCTGATAATATTCTTACTTTTGTATTTTTCACTGCAAATTTCAGAATTTGAAGCATGGCTTCCATCGACAAACACCTTTTGGTGGCCGCCATTGACTTCGGAACCACTTACTCGGGGTATGCCTTCTCCTTCCTCCACGAGTATGAACGTGACCCTTTGAAGGTTTCAGCTAACAACTGGACAGCGGGGTCAGGGGGTCTTATATCCCTGAAGACGTCCACCTGTGTTCTCTTTAAACCAAACGGTGACTTCCACTCTTTTGGTTTTGAGGCTGAAGACAAATATTCCGATCTTTCCTTAGACAGAGAACAAGATGGATGGTACTACTTTCGACGATTTAAAATGAAACTATATGAGAACAAGGTATTTGTTGGCTTGTAAAAAAGTAAAATAATCCTGTCTTTCTCTCTCAGTACTCAAATCCACCTGTATTTTGACACTTTGTTAACATTCTTGGGTATGCTTTCTGTAGTTAATAAGTGTTTTCCTAGTCAAATCCTTTATTTGCTCTTCTTAGAGGATGCTTTAACAATCAACAGATTCATGATTGTCTTGATTGTTGTATCTAATCCAGTGTTTGTCAGCTTTTACATTACTTGTTAGGCTTCAATGTAACGTGATTACTGAATGTATTGGTTGATTCAGTTGACATACCAGTTTTGAATTTTGTCGTTATATTTTAGTTTTAAATAAATATATGTATATAAAGGATTTCACATCAGTTTCTATCTGATATGAGATTTTTAAAACGAGTTGAAAATGTTTTCATTTTGCGAGGCTCTGTCGAGTCAACTGATTCTGTTGACATTGTGTTCGGGGCGAGAGCCATGGTTCCTGAAGGGACGGATAGTATGCGCAAATGTTCTTGTGCTGATCAGAGGTAATTTGACTGTAATTATTAACAGATTGTATATTTCTATGACCCGTTATCAAGTAGCCATTTTTTTTATTACGACTCGTAGTAAAAAAGAAGTGTTTATGTTTACTGATTACGTCATACGTATCAACACACACGAAATGTGAATGGACTGACCAATAAAAACCCTCCATGGTATTACACGTGTGTTCATAACACAATTTATGTAATGGGTGTTATTACACTTATAACAGGGTAGTCATGTATTAAATATTTATATGTAATGGTTTCTCGTTGAATGCAATATCTTTTTCACGAATATGGCAGAAAACGGATAGTTTTCACGAATGTGAGGCACGAGTGAAAATACAGGTAAATTCTACCTTATGAGTGATATATATTTGGCATTCAACGAGAGAACAATGGAATTCTCTATCGGTTACATTGTAAAACTATCTACAATGACAAAAATGTAACTGCATCAAAACCGTAAGTTATATGACAGTTTATCTTTGACGCTTTATGCTAATGATGACACTCTTTACAACAAGATCGCGTGCCATTTTGAATAGGCTACTCAACACAATGCTATAGTTTTCTGCTATAATTCGGTTAGATTTGCTTTCGTAAATGGTATCAATTGTGAAGGTACATTTATACGTTCAGCATGTGAAACCTACTTATTTTACCGTCGCTTCATATGTTTCTGAACAAAATATTTTACGAATGTTCTTTGAATGAAATGAATAGAAAGGTCAGTTCTTATCTGTCAATATCAAAAGTGATATTTTCACACTGTAAAAAAATATCATCTTAGATATCTCTCACAGTGCAAAAGATTTAAGTTCTATCAAAGTTTTATATTTAGATATTATCATATGACCATTTTAATATCACACCCCATATCAGCCCAAGAGTCCTGATACCAGCCAGAGGGCCGAAGGCCCGAGGGCTGTTATTAGGACTCTCGGGCTGATTGGGGGTGTGATATTAAAATTGTCATATCATAAACTTTTTATCATATGTCTTTTTCCATTAAAATATTTTTTTATTTTATTTATATTCATAAAAATGGTAACAAAAACAATGATGTATATAAACAAAACAGTAACAATTATACGTAAAATCTCAACATTGTGAAATTCCCAAATTCCTACAAAATGATATGGTTATTGAAATTTGGGTGGGGCTTTGTAAATCAATCTTTAAATAATTTTCCATGACCCGCAGTTATTCCATGCCAACAATTCGTTTGTTTACATTTAAAGTAGACAGGGGGGTCCATCCTTTTGGAAAAACCCTTGTCATTTTTTTCCTAATTAGGCTTATTTTCTTGCATTTTTTTCGTAGATTCCATATATGAAAAGAAAAAAGGGGGTTCTTGACTGACCTTTTGAGATATTTTAGCTGAAAGTTAACCACTTTTCTAAAACAATCCCCCAAATTATCAAAATTAAGTAAAAATGTTTTCTACAATATTTACAAAACTTAAGTTACCACCAAGTTGGATATTTTTGAAAGATTATGTGATGTACTATCAAATGCGAAAGGNGGGGGGGGGGGGGGGGGGGGTCTCGATGAAAAGTTTGCAATTTTGCTCACCTGAAGTTAGAACTCCGTTCCCCCACCCCATTTTGACTATTCCTATTTTCATGGGTAAAAGGCAAAATCATGTCATATTATTATCCATCATTCTGTGCGGAGCGTAAAATAATTCGAAAAAAATGGCGCCTAGTTGTCGATTGCTACTGATGTCCCGCCCTGTCATTGGCTACCTGTATGTATATGAAAGGGAAGCTACTCCAAAAAAGTTACCTTATTTGTTTTCCGCCACTGATAGGGCGGGACATCATTATGTGCGGAGCGTAAAATAATTTAAAAAAAATGTTGACTAGTTGTCGACTGCTACTGATCGACGTAGTATTTCAGAGAAGCGGGCAGCACATGTATTGCATTGAGGATATTACATAAGGATTTAAACCATTCCTTGGATACATTTCTCGAGTTTATCCGTGAAACTTGGTCATTTCTCGTGAGTATAGAATTTGGTTCGGTCGCAATTTAATGGTGTAATTGCGACTTTTAAGCGGTGTCAATGGATAACTATGTGTCAGACAGTCGTAGTTATGGTTTCATTTTGTAAATAAATCACTTGTCTTCAATATTCAACCGAGGTATATCCAATATGAACAAAGATTTGTGAATGACACGAGCTGAAAGAGAAAAGAGGGTAACGGATTTCAGTCTGCCGTGATATCCCTTTGTATTTTTTAGTAGAGGAGACCCCTATTTTTTAATATTACAAGTAAAGCGATCCATGCCCCTGTGAAACAGTGTAACAGACTACGAGCGGAATATGTGGTTGCCGTGATACAAGTTTCCGGAACTAAAAACATTAGTGTCGCATATTGTGTTGGTCATATGCCTTACACTTTTTGTATACACTGAGCATTAAAGACTGCTGCCGTCAAAATCATGTTTTTAAAAGCTGATTTTAATACATGACAATTGCATGCATAAATGTAAACAATACACCTGTTTAGACATACTGTATTTTCATTCGAGCGTTTGTCCTTGCTATTACTGTTTTGGTCACACAGAGAATTGAATATCAATATCTTGATCCCCTCCCCAGTATTTTTTTTTTTACTGTTAAGATTTTTTGAGATGCACACAGTCAAATACATTCAATCCGAGGCCGACTCCATACAAGGAAGAAGAAATTTCTAGTCCCCAGTGTATGGGGTTCTGAGACATCTATGAGGAGGTGATGGGGAGGTTGATGCACATTTACAATGTACTGTGCATGTACTTGTGTGCTGTTGGGTGAGAGGGGGTCAAAGCTCCTCTGCTTACAAAGTTTTCATATGAGCACAAAATTATCTGGTTACATATGATGAACTGTTATAAACACCTTGAAATAAAGGCGAAATGTACATGTGATATTCAAGCTGAATTCAGGGGAGATATGCAGATTTTGGAATCTTATACAATTCAATAGTTCTGTGGACTCTCATCCATAACACAAGAAAACATATCTTGAATTTGAGAATAAACTACAAGTGTAATATCAAATTCTGATTATAAATCTGAACGTGAATTCCAGAGAGAAAATTCACAGAGAAATAAATTCTTGGAAAGTAATTAATATTTACCAAATTAACTTACTATGTGTTTAGTCTTTTTATAACAGCACAGAAAAAAATGAACAAAACTCATTTTTAAACTTGCATTGATTTTATTCAATTTACATTTTTGAAACATAATACAGAATATGAAATAAAGATAGAAATATTTGTCTTTGGAGTAAGTACATTATAGTATGAATTTTATGTATCAAAATAATGACACATTTACAGGACCTATGTATTTGAATTTTTTTCACATTAAATTGTCCAGAGTTTTGTTTCTTTCGTGTAGTCTTCTTACATAAGGCTTTCTGCAAAAATGTCCATGACCTAGAACATTCACCTGTAAAAAGGAAAAATAAATTTAATGATTTCAAAAAAAATATGGTATGCAGAATCCATACTTCAATTACGTGTATATTATAAGTATGTCTAACATAAAAATTGATTGGAATCCTTTGTGACAGGAAAAACATATGAGAATGAAAAAGTTTCGCTGCTTTACAGCTCTTCAGGAGAAATTATGACTATACACGTGTAGTGCTTTACAATATCTTATTGATAATCGCGTAAGTCATAATTAAGAAAATACTGTATCAAATTATACTAATACTGCATAATTATACCTGGTCTTCAACCAAACATACAGGAATGATAAATATTGATAATATACACATGTAGAATACAGTCTTATTAAAATTAGACAAAAGTGACTTTTAAAAGCAGCTTATTCCACAACCCATATTGAAAAATATGATATATTTTTGTGTAATATGTTTTGCTAAATCTATGAGAAAGTAAGTCAGTTTCACCAGTTTCACATTTCTAAGTTTTTACACCATTACATTTTTCTTAAAAATTTTAATTAATCTTTTGATTAATATATCACAAGAAATCAATCTTGGTGAATGCTTGGTTCAGTACAGAGATTAATATACTGAAAGATACTACAGCAGCAACTATTACACATTCATATCAGGTATTGCAACATAAGGACTTCATAGTCAGACATGTTTGTCACATTTGATCTGACATTAAATAAACTATATATTGTTACTTTGTTATTACCTGGTTATGTATGAAATTGTAATAATGTTGTTTCTATTCATTCTCCACCTATGTTATAATGATGACCTAGGCCTATGTCCTTATCAACAAAGTTCTTGTTGCTGATATAAAAAGGGTTACCATTTGCATGGTCTCCAGATACAGTTATATAGCGATGAGTATTTTCTATGATTTGATTTATCCAGGTTTGGCTTTTTGCATTTTAGTTTCTGTCCTTACTTCCTGCAATGATAGAACACAAATTATGCATCTTTTAAAAATTTACTCGAATTTGTTCAGATATGAATTTAATCTAATCTCATTTGATACACTGAACACAATACAATACAAATACAATAAAAAACAAAGTGATTTGTTTACTTATTTTAAAATATTTCAATGAAATTGGATCCTTTGATGTTTTGAGTTGAAATGCAACCTGATAAGATATATTCTTAACTAAATTTCACTCCCTAAAACAGAGATTGCATGTAAAAAGGAAAAGAGCCATATTCATTTGTAATTCACTGATAGCTGAATTAACCTACAACACATGAAAACTACATAGGTTTATATACATGTTTCCTATAAGGAGCAGGCCTAGGCCTTGGGAAATATTTGAAAACAAATGAAGGGAAATCACCTGTGATGTATTTCTTACCAAGTGCTGCTTTTCCTACATCAAGAAAGCTGGTCATGGCTCTTGTTAGTACCTGATCAGAGCATTGGTAAATTGGGTTGGTATCATATCACTGCCTTATGGGGCACATTATTGCATATCACAACTCGTGCTTGTTTTCAGACATATCATAACAAAGCCCTCCACCCAAAAATAACAAATATGATGGCTACATGAAAAATAGTTTAGTCAGTGGTTTGCTGAGAGTGTGATTATAAAGTTAACAATCTGACAATTCCACAAACGCCTGTGCACTGTTTTGAATATGACACTATATATTTACCTCATTGTAGAAACTCGTCCGCTCGTGTTTGAATGCTTCGGTTCGGTATGGGTCCCTGGGGACATTGACGTTGACTCGAGACATTTATTTTCAGTTGCAGTTTTTAGACTCTCTTTCGTATCACTTGAAGCTGTTTACACTGCCATTTGTTACTTATTTCTGAACAAAATCCATGTCAACAGTCAAGACGGAATAGCTGCAATGCTTCGAATGAAATTTTCAACGTCAAGACCTAGCGAAGCGTCGCCGTCAGTGTGATTGGTAATTGTCACAATTCTTCCATCGTACGTAATGACCTATTCCGTTCAAGTGATGATGTGGACTCTGCGTATCGTTTGTTTTATTTAACATGTAGATAAGTGAGCAATAACATTCTTTCACTTTCAGGCTTCATCCTCAGCAGCTGTAAGTCATCAGCTGCGATGGTAAACTTCCGGGGTAAACGACTTTCGTTCTTATTTACGGGAGTTCAATATCACAATAAATACGGTTATTTAAATTTAAAAAATGTTTGGACTGGATACTTTTAATTTTTTTTTGACGTTCTTAGTTATTGTTAATAATTGTTAATGGCACTTTCTTAATCGAAGCGTGGTGTCGTTAGAATACCTTAAATCTTTCTGAAATATAGCCAACATGCGCAGCTTCCTGCGCAGTGGCGCTAAATTTGAGAAGGATGGACCCACCTTAAGCGGAAGCGGCAAAATCTGGAAATTTGGGAGGGGGTTGTGATATCACTTTTCTAGGGGGTGTGATATCACTTTCAAGGGGGTGTGATATCACCCGGGCTGACATCAACTTAAGGAAATTTTAGACTTATTACACATACAAAAAGGGTGTTATTATTAGTAAACATATGATAAAGTTCGATATCTCATCGGCAGAATATTAATATAACTTGTTTTTGTTTCCTTTTACGCGTTTCGTGTAAAGTGTGTGATTTGTGAAGGGCTGGGGAGAGGAGATTGGAAAGGTGAGCACATACTTAAACTTTGACCATAAACTGATGTTGTTGTTATTGATGACGACGACGACGACGAGGATGATGATAATAATGATAATGATATACGACGATGATGATCATTATGACATGTTTTTAAGAATTAATGTGCGAGTGTAAAAAAGATAATGATATTGACGATGATATATATATATATATATCAACATTGATTTTTTCTATTTAGTGTTTAAACCGCTCGTTCAAGATAGAAGATGATCAAGGTCACACAATGGTGGCTATCAAAGTGTTTACAGCAGTCATCAAGTATCTCAAGGATCAAATGTTGACATCGTGTAAAAACCAGATGACAGACATCAAGGCGACAGACATCCTCTGGGTCCTTACTGTTCCTGCAATCTGGTCCGACGCCTCCAAACAGTTCATGCGAGAGGCTGCTGAGGCTGTAAGATTTATAAACATTTCATACACAAAATCAGCAATAAAAAAAACCCGAGTTAAACGCAAATTGTTAATTTTAATCATAAATAAAATAATAAGTATTTGTCATAATCGATTAAAAATGCTACAACTGGGTATGCCAGCAAAAATTGTAATAGTTGAATGAAATATATGAGTGACTATTAAGTTCAACATGTACATCATGTCAAAGACGGTTCAATGTTACAAAATTTACCACGTTTACAATTTACAGCTCACTCGCCGATTGCCCATGTTCATAATCAGAAAAACAATACAGTACAGTAAATAAATTAAGGACGATAACAAGTTTTAGTTCAATCCAGCAACTATTGATGTACATGTTTTATACGGATCATTTGATTGATGGAATGATAGCAATATGACTATGGAATCACTGAATTTTCTTTGAAATAAAAGTAGTCCAATATTATCATGCTAGACAAGGAAACCGTGTGTCGCTGATAACCAGTATTTGGAAGGATATGAAATTTAACGAGAATATGTCATAATATCATATTGATGAGTGTTTTTTTTATCTCTTTAATGTATTGAAATATATTAAATGTCGATAATACTTTTAAAATCCCACATCTCATCCATATGTATCAATATCTTACTGTGGTTTTATTAGCTCACCTGGCCCGAGGAGCTAAGTGAGCTTATGGCATGGTGCGGCGTCCGTCGTCCGTCCGTCGTCCGTCCGGCGTCCACTTTTTATTTTAAACAACTTCTTCTCAGTAACCATAAGGCCTAGGGCGATGATATTTGGCCAGAAACATGCTGGGATGAAGGGCTACCAAGTTTGTTCAAATAAATGACCTTCATCAATTTTCAAGGTCACAGGGGTCAAATATGTTAAAATCTTTAAACAACTTCTTCTGAATAACCAAGAGGCCTAGGATGATGATATTTGGCCAATAACATGCTTGAATAAAGGGCTTTCAAGTTTGTTCAAATAAATGACCTTGCCTTATATTCAAGGTCACAGGGGTCAAATATGTTAAAAACATTTAAACAATTTCTTCTGAAAAACCAAGAGGCCTAGGGTGATAATATTTGGCCAGTAACATGCTGGAATGAAGGGTTGCAGGATTTTTCAAATAAATGACCTTGACCCACTTTCAAGGTCACAGGGGTCAAATATGTTTAAAACTTTTAAACAACTTTTTCTGAATAACCGAGAGGCCTAGAGTGATGCTATTTCGGTAGTAATATGCTGGGGTTAAAGCGCTACCAAGTTTGTTCAGATAAATGACCTTGACTTATATACAAGGTCACAGGGGGCAAATATGTTTTAAACATTTAAACAACTTCTCCTGAATAACCAAAGGCCGAGGGTGATGATATTTAGCCAGTAGCATGCTGGGATGAAGGGCTATAAAGTTTGTTCAAATGAATTACCTTCATCTTTTTTCAAGCTCACAGGGTCAAATATGTTTTAAACCTTTAAACAACTTCTTCTGAATAACCAAGAGGCCTAGGATAATGCCAGTAACATACTGGGATGAAGGACTACCAAGTTCAAATGAATGACGTTGACATCTATATTTTAAGGTCACAGGGGTCAAATATGTTTAAAACCATTGAGCGACTTCTTCTTAATAAGCAAAAGGCCAAGGGTGATGATATTTGGCCATTACCATGCTGGGATAAAGGACTACCGAGTGAATAGCCTTCGCCCATATTCAAGGTCACAGTGATCAATATATGTTTAAATCTTTAAATGATTTGTTCTGTATAACCAAAAGGTCCAGGGTAATGATATTTGTCAAGAATGCTGGGTTGGAAGACTATAAACTCTGTTCAACCTAATATTATAATGTCCTTGTTCGACATTCAAGGTCACAGGTGTCAAATGTTTAAATCTTCTAATAGGTTCTTATGATGAAACACTGATATTTTGCCCGTAGCTGTATTTTAGTCCACTTTTAAGATTACAAGTGTGAGAGTAATACCAGGTGAGCGATGCAGGCCCATTGGTCCTCTTGTTTCATAAATTATAATTTATTTTATTAATTTATTTACTTATTTCATTCATTCAGTTTTTTTATATTAATTCTGTTCTAACATGCTATTACGTCTAACATCAATTGTCAAAGGTAAACAAATCTTACGTTAAGTACAGAGAAAAAAGATATTTAGTTCGTCATAATATTGATTAAATATTATTGAATTACCATCTTTTGATAACGACATGAGCAAGATGTCGATATTTATCCGCAAAATATGTGCTCGACAAACACAGTAAATTACATTTTAATCTCACTCTATTGCATATGACTTTAAATTAAGATTTAAGCGTTATATTTCTTCTACGTTCTGTATAATTTTTCCGTCAATTGTTTACTGAGAAAACACTATGTTTGTTTGACTTTTTTGTATGTTTTGTTTATAGGCTGGTATCCAAGGGAATCACCTGCTGATTGCCCTAGAACCGGAGGCCGCATCGCTGTACTGTAAATACCTTCCTTTTGAAAGAAAAGGAGAGGGCGGCCTGAAAACCTTCACTGCAGGGTCAAAGTACCTTGTCCTTGACGCCGGAGGTACGAAAAGAGATGACAACCTTAATTAACAGACATGGTTGTCCAAATCCTTTGTATATTTTATTTTTAAAGCAAATATGAAACAATTTTTCAACTTATATTAACCACTCTTGTTTGCTCGAATGTAATTACGCAGGGTCTTAATGTGGGAAGAAATCGGAGTACCTGGAGAAAACCCAATGGTCGGACAGGTGCCAAAATACCTGTTCGATCCTATCGAGGAATGGAATATTTTCATTTTGTAGAAAATTTTCCAAAATGAGTTAAATATGGAATTTAAAATTTAAAACATGAAACTGTTGTTAATCAAGGTCAAAATCTCACCCGTTAAAGGAAATGAACGGATATATATTTTTACAGGTAAATATATGATGATAGATTAAGGGGCTCACAATTGTATTTTTGTACTGCATTTCTAGGTGGAACGATAGACATTACCGCACACGAGGTTCAGCGGGATGGATCACTGAAGGAAATCTTCAAGGCCAATGGAGGAGACTGGGGAGGTACGAAGGTTGATCACGCGTTCCAAGTTCTCTTATCCGGAATCATTGGTAACGGTGCATTTCATTCTTTCATCGAAAAGAACAAGGCAGATATGGTCGAATTCTTTCGAGATTTTGAAGTGAAAAAACGCACCATCAAACCAAATGCTCCCTGCGATGAAAAAGTCACCTTCAAAGTTCCATCCGCAATGAACGACGCATGCAAAGATGAAAATAGGAACGATATTGCCACGATTGTGAAGTCGAAGCAGCATTTTAAGGGGAACTTGTCGGTCGTTGGTGATAAGTTAAGAGTCAGCGGAGATCGGGCTAAAGAATTGTTTAAGGACCCAGTTAAGCATATCGTGGCCCATTTGAAGAAGTTGTTGGAGGAACCGTTTGCCAGAGGAGTGAAAAGTATCTTGATGGTTGGGGGATTTTCGGAGTCCCTTGTTCTACAGGATGCAATCAAAAAAGGTTTCCCAAACCTCCGAGTGATTGTGCCGCAAGATGCAGGACTGGCAGTTCTGAAAGGAGCGGTCATATTTGGGCATGAACCGAGGGCTATCAAGTCACGTGTTTGTAAGTATACTTATGGAGTAATTACTTCACAACTCTTTGATGCCGAAAAACATGATCCCTCTTACCGGTTCACCACTTCTTACGGCGCAGTGAAATGTCGGAACTTATTTTCTATCCATGTTCGTGTTGGAGATTGTGTGGATATCGGACAACCACAGTCAGTTATAAATTACCATCCTACGGAAGCAGACCAAACGGGCGTAACACTCAAAGTGTATGTGTCCACAGAAAAAAACCCCAAATACGTGACAGATAAAGGATGTACTAAGATTGGTCATATGCAAATCGCCATGCCGGACACGACTAAGGGACGGAAAAGATCTGTAGGTGTACAGATGACTTTTAGTAACACAGAGCTCGAGGTAGAAGCCATCATCAAAGATACCGGGGAAAAAGTCACCGCGGCATACGACTTTCTGTAATGTATATAAACTATATGCGATCTTCGTTTTATGTTTGGTTTGTTTTATCAATGGTGCGTAGTCTGAACTCGTATCAGTAACATCTCATCTGAAAAGTAAACGGTAAACAGGACTTAGTAAAGAGGACCTTCCTCATCGACTTCAGGATCAAAAGGACTAGAGTGAGATTACTATGAGATCATTGGAGGACTCTGACTCGAAATAGGGTTGCTTCTATGATCGCTTCCATCAGAAGGTAGCAGCCAAAAGAGTGTGATTTGTTTTAGAATCATTCAAAAGTTTTCAATTGTGATAATAATAATATATAAATAATATACAACATTTATATAGGGCCCTACATCATTTGTAAAATTATTCTTAAGCGCTTTAATAATATTAGAGACAACGAATGAACTAAATATATGTATTCAATAACTGTTGTTATATAGTTCGATACGTTTGGACATTGTCAATACCAAATTGCTTACTTTTACCTTAGTGGTACTAAATTTAATGAAATATTGCATCTTTTATGAAGAATCGTTTATATGCCCGAGAAATTTGGAGAGCGCTACCTTTACTTTTCGAAATTAACTATTGCTTTTTTGATTTTGATAACTGTGGTTTCGGACGATGTAATGTCCACGTTGTGTATTTTAAACGTTGAGGGTACACCATAGTTCAGCAAACTTTAGTATTATATGAACTATTCTACCGGTCTGATGTAATGCAAAGAATGGTTTGTACCAGGGAAGTAGTTTGATTATACTCGAACAAAAAATGCACAAGAAAACATCATCTGAAAGAATATATTTAACATCTTAATACAGATATTTAGAAATAAATTATGTAACAGATTTTAAAAGTACTATCATATAAATATTTGATGATACCAGCTACAGACCAGCTTACTAAAAAAAATGATCTGACACATCTGTACAAAACAGTTTAGGTCTAGTTCTGATGCATTGATATGTACAACACAATCTGGTGCTAACAAGTATGTCACAAATATTTGCCAACTTCTAACTATTGGAAGGATCGTTGGCTCACTGTCTGTGCCCTATATTTGACCCCTTGAGGCGACTCATTTTATGGCCCCTACAGAGACTACTCTTGTCACTCTCGTTTCAAATTTCCTGTTAAACCGGTTACATTAACCACTCTGCAATACTTTGTTATTAGTATATGAAATTGTACAACTTCTTAATTTCCATTATGTTTTTATTTCTATTTATATATACATTTAAAGACGAGTTTGATGTCTGTGGTCATTTTGTAAGACGAAATTGTTTTGACGAGTTTATTTGGTAGACGACGTTTTCGGCACAAATTTCTAGTGTGGGTCTCAAGGTGTGTTATCTAACCATCATAAATGTACCAGCATTTTTTATCCAGTTACTGTCGCATTATTCAACATTTTCCATCTTTGACCTTCGTTTACTACCTGGACGAGTAAGAGTAACCCAAGCCGCCACCATGACGTGCATTTCACCCCGCCCCTCGCAGATTTTGTTTCACGCCGTGTTTACAAGAACAAAAACTAAATAAATTTTCTCCTTATATTTATTCAGATTGTTTTAAATTAACTTACCTGACTTAAAGTATTCAAGATGAATTTTGTACAGTAATAAGCATTCGATTACAAACTAATCGAGGGGGTCTGCGATTATAAAAGCATATTTTATATCAGTATTTACTGTTGGTTTATGTTTTTTTGTTGTAATTTTATAGTGACTTTTTATCTCTGTTATATGTTGTAATATGTAAATGTTCATGTTTCTGTCTTGAAATATATTTTATGATATATATATATATATTAAAATAATATAGTGTTCACCCACTTAACGTTATTCTTAAAACAACGTACCCGTATTATCACTTCTTTTTCGGAACAGCAAGTTATTGCATTTCATATTACATGATATCAATAGATGTAAAATGCTGCTATAAAACCACACGTTTTTCGTGTGGCATCGTGGTTTTTTTGTATATAACCTTGAATAGTTCGTGTGGTATCGTGAGGCTCATATTTCGTGTGGCATCGTGTGGTTTTTTGTATATAACCTTGAATATTTCGTGTGGTATCGTTGGGCTCATATTTCGTGTGGCATCGTGTGGTTTTTTTGTATATAACCTTGAATAGTTCGTGTGGTATCGTGAGGCTCATATTTCGTTTGGTATCGGTGAGCACATGCTTCGTAAAGCATCGTGTGATCACATTACATGTTCTATAAAAGGCACATGAGTACCTAAAGTTTCAGTTAGTACCACATGGCACAGAAACAGATCGACCTCGTCATTGGTGGAAATATCGACGTTTGCGATGTCTCTGCTAGCAGTATTACCTGTCGTATAGGATTAACGCAGCAAGTCATCGTTAAGAAAGTCAAAAGTGAGGTGAAAGTTTGTTTACGTGAGGAAAAAAAAGAGTTTACAAATCACAGGTGACTTTAAAAAAAAATATGCTGTTTCAATCGAAGAGCCTACAGTGCGTTTATTCATTTATGAAAAATTGCATGAGAAACCGACAGCGTCCGTCATACTGTAAACGTGATACAACCCCATCATCCATCGTTGATCAGGTGTTCTAACAGAATAGATACATTTACTAACTGGCCAAAAAACCGTCATCAATCACCCTATCAACTGGCAAGTAACGGCATTGAAGACTGCGTCACTTGTTTTATGTGTGGTGTTTCGTTAAAACATTGGAACTATTTCGACGATATCGCAACAGAGCACCTGAGATGGTCTAAAAAATGTCTTTTTCTTGGTATGATGTTTGTTATCTAAACATGATAGACGTTGCGTTAATTCAGAAAAGACTGCATGATTATTTATTCGAAGAAATCGAAGAAAAGGCCTTAGAAGAATATTAAAAAATCTGTTGTGTCTGTCTTATGCATATGCTGTCAGATCTAAGATTACCGAACTGTATGTGCGTGCTGGATGTGAAGAAGGGCTAGCCAATCAACTGGGGCATAGATGTGTGATGCTTTCCTATGACGATGTGATGGATTTACATTTTGACGAAGCACTGACTTTAATAAACCATTTAGAAGTGGAAAAGACTTGGCGTGAATCCGCCCTACAATCGTGTATCCCTTCTAGATCGTTACAATGGCTCATGAAAGAATGACGACTACGTAATGGTGCTTACGTTATCGAACACTATAATGCAAAGATAAAGAAATACGTCAAGAAGATAGGTGTTGAAGAAAGTCGGTTATTTATATAAAGATGGACAGTGTTAGCAATTACCCAATTCATAAATACATGACAAATCACATGGATCGATTGATGACATTCTTACAGTGGCCGTCAAAACTTCATCCGTACTACCTCGCCCGTGACGGACTCTTCTACGAAGGTTTTGGATATTACGTTACCTGCTACAAGTGTGGAAAGACATGAATATTCCTGAAACGTTAAGCGTTACTTTTAAAACAGTAAAGGATTATGAATTCGTCAGATTGTATCAGAATGGACAGCCTTTTAAAACTGGTGTTTGCTTATCACGTTAAGAAAATCACTGAAGAAAAGTGCAGTATTCAGAACGCTTTGGAACATGTGGATGATGTGAGCGTGATACGTGACTTTATTCGTGAAATCGTTAACACTAACATTCCGAAAAAGGAAAGAAATGACTTTATACCACGGCTATATAATGCTGAATGGAGAGCCAATGAACTCAAAACACAGAAATGGAAAGAAAAATTCAGTCATTTGATCATGTCCATGATTCGTTTAGAGAGTAAGTTTAAAAACAAAACATTGTCATAATTCAAAAGATATTTTTATTTGTAATAAAAGATTACATACATAAATGTTTGTCTCATTATCGTTATGTTGACCAAAGAGGAGAAGGACCGCATAGACGCGGTGTATTACGACTTTAAGAACGGTGGTGCATTTCTCAGTCCCACGAAAGTACATCAGATATTGAAATCGCAAGGATTTAAATTACCAGGTCTTCATAAGTCTCGACGATTACAGTTTACAGAAACCTCCAAGACGTTCATTTAATTTTTCTGCGTCATTTTGAGCGTCATTATGTAGTTTTGTAAGATACATTTTTCTAGGGTCACATTGAGGTCACATTACATGCTCTATAAAAGTCGCTGGCTTACCTAGGGTTTCACTTGTGTTTGAAACTCCCTTGTGTTATTTCAGTTAATCTGACAATACTTGCTGTGACTATCACAAGATTTACATTCATTAAACAAACGTGTCCAGAACAAGTGCCTAAAGCAAGGATTCATTTCTGGTTAAGCCGATAAATACTCTTTATCCACTTGAATTATAATGGATAAATCTCAAACTGTTGCTGTGGGGATAAAATTATAACAACAGACATATAATAACTGAAAACAGCTCCGGTTTTATTGATAGATTCGAATATTTTAATTCACTTATCTAATTTCAGTATTACTATCAAGTTAAAGGAACGATTTTTACAATTTCATAATTCAAAATACCAATTCAGACACAATATTGAGCAGAAGAGTGAGGTATTTGGGTACTTTTGTTTACAATTAATACCGTATTATAGTATTTCAATTCAAAACTCTTTACGTTTATTTGAACTACAGTGGATAATATCTCAAACTGTTACCGTAAGAATAAAATGGTAACTATATAGTTTCTTTGGATGGAAGACTGTATTAAGTGTCAAAAAACAGTTTATGATAGTGACTTTAGAACGTGTTCGGATTGTGACAATTCAGTATGTTCAAAATGTTATTATCCGTCACCACACGAAACTGTGTGCCCCATCAATTGTCCTCCGCCATCACAAACGATACAGGAAAGAGCAATGATGGCTGAAGAAAACCTAAAGGAATTACTCTTCACATTATTATTTTTTCCGTTTATACGCTTAAAATAGCTTGAATGCATATATTTCATTATATAAATAAAGGCAAAGATATCTTTTATACATATATTTTATTATATGCAATTACACAGTCTTTATATATATATGTATTATAAATCAGAAAAATGATCCTTAAATATATATACTGAACAAAAAAAGAAACGCACAATTAAATTATGCAATCAATAGCCTATAATATTTTGGGAAATATGAAGGGATAAGTCTACTCTTTACAATACTGTAGAAGAAAAGTCTGTGTGACGTCACTCGTGTCATCATTAGTTACTCAAAGTGGGATACCCGCGAAAAATAAAATGACACTTCAGTACCTGGTGTGGGCACCTTTTGCACGAATCCCAGCACGGATTCTCCTATGCATTGAATTCATGAGAACATTTATTCGCCTTAAGGGAATGTTGTTCCATTCTTGTGTTAATGCTGCGATCAACTGGGTGCGGTT